ACGAGCTTTAGTAGAAGCAGGCAGGAACGGTAACTCAAATTAAACAGTTTCAGCAAAACTGGAAAATGTATCAGATCAATCCTTCTCAACAAAGACAGGACCTTCTGGATGAGTGTGACCTGAAACTTTCATCAATCACACCTGAAGACTGGAGGCAGTCTAACTGTGTTCATATCTCTGGTGTGAAGAAAGTGATCACAAAGGGAACCAAAGGGACCACAATGGAAACTGGAAAAGTGCGCTCAGTAGTCTGCAGATCTCCACCAGGTGGCCGCCCAATTCTGTTCCAGCAGATGCCTCCACTAACCTCAGACCTCAGGCTTTGGTCCTCCTCACTGTGCCCTGTCTACATCATTGAGCTCACTGTGCCCTCGGAGGACACTGTTGAGAAATCCTACAAGCACAAGAGCCTTTAATACGCCAAGTTGGCAGCTGACGCTGAGCAATGCAGCTGGAAAGCAAAGGTTTGCCCTGTTGAAGTGGGCTGCAGAGGCTTCTTGGACAAGTTAACTACCAGCGTGCTTTAAAAAATGGGAATTCATGGGGCGTCGGTGGCTTAGTGGTAGAGCAGGCGCCCCATGTACAAGGCTGTTGCCGCAGTGGCCCGGGTTCGAATCCAGCCTGTGGCCCTTTGCTGCATGTCATTCATCCCCCCTCTCTCTCCCCCCTTCACGCTTACCTGTCCTGTCCATTAAAGGCAAAATGGCCCAAAAAATATCTTAAAAAAAAATAAAACTAAAAAAATGGGAATTCGAAGCCAAGCCCAATGTCAGGCCATCAAAGCCCTGTCTGGCACAGCCAAACAGGCAATCCGGAGGCTATGTATTGAGAGGAGCGACACCACTTGGGCCCTGAAATACTACTACCAACAGCAGGGTACGAGGGAGTAAAAGCAGAGGGGGGTGCACCTGGGACGCCAAGCGTTGCCGGTGAGCCCACTGGAGGTGTTGTGGGCCAGTCATCGAAACACCAGTGACGGAGGATACCCACTTGATGACCCCAATGACGCTTTTACCCTCCCCTCCCTTGTCTTTCTCCTTCTGTCTTTTTTGTATGTGTGCGCTGGCATGGACGTGGTCTCCCCTCCCGAATTCCCCAGCTCTGTTCAACACTCATCTGTCTGCTATCAGCTCATCAAGATATTGTCTCTCATCAGTTCATCAACATGCAGTATCTCTACTCCAGCTCTCCAACCACTCACCACCAGATCGTTATTCAATCGTTTGTGGTAGCTAAGCTTAACGACCAACTAACTTATTGTTGGTGTTTTGCTTTGTCGTGTTATTTTGTGTCAATATCCTGTGTTTTCCTGTGCTCCAGGATCACTGCTTACCTGCCTGCAACTTCATCTCCAACAAGATGTCCTTGAGCATACAGTCATAAATGTGTACACAAAATATGAGGCTGATTGGTCCAGTAGTTTCCCAGATTAGCTTTGGAAAGCTGGATACACACACTAATATAAACACAAACTCATAAATACACATGACCAAATGCATGATAATAAGCTTTAGGGCTTTATTGTATTTTTTTGACAATTTTGTTTATGTTAATATTTTCTTTTCTTTTACCCAAGCACATGTTGGCGTATTTCTTCTTATAAGATTGAAACTGTCTAATAAAATCAATCAGTCAGGAACGATATCATCACCAGGCTGACAAAGCAGTGATCAGAAACAACTGGTGTAAAACTGAGATTAGAAATGACTCAACTTTTTTTTTTTTTTTTTTGTTGAAGTTCCAAACTTGGGAAATGTCATCTGTGGTTATGATTTTAAGATCAGTATTCAATTAATAACAAAACTAAATTAACTAAACAATTAGCTATTAACTAAATTACTTTTAGTTCCTCTGATTTACATTGATTGCCATATTTCAGTTATTCTCCTCTCCTCTTATCCCATTAATGTGCCGATCACAAAGTTTAACTGCAAAAGTTTCAAAACTGTCAAGTGAAGCACAAGTGACGTGAAGCTTTGGATGATATTCTTCATCTGATACAAGCTTCTCCACAATGTACTGAAACAGTGAACGTCATGGTAGTAAAACAAGTTTACCAACTTTTGTACCATCCATTCATCTCTTTTCAGAACAGGGACATTCCCGCCTCCTACTCAAGGAAAAAACACAGAAAACTAAACAGCTGAAGCAGTTCAGTACTTTACCCACACGTCTTTATAAAAACAAGATGAAGTTACTTTTGTTGTTTCTCTTCTGTCATGTTTCATCTCCAGGTAAGATCACAAATTTAATCTTCCATTCACTTTCCCCTCAGCTCTGTATTTTGTTCTTGGGCAGCTCCAGGACACACCTGCAGTGTATGTTCTGACTGGATCATACTGAATACATCATATTCATAAGTGTTAAGATGATGATGTGCGTATATTTAAACTAAATGTGTGAACCTTGTTTGTTCTGTAGTGAAACACTCCCTGGAGTATTTGTTAACTGCGTCTTCTGGAGTCTCAAACTTCCCAGACTTTGCGAGTGCTGCAGTGGTTGATGACATTTTGGTGGCTTACTGCGACACCAATGAAAAGATAGTAGAACCAAAACAGGACTGGGTGAAAAAATTATTTCAACATTTTCCTGAGTACATGGAGCATTACACTCAAATGTGTCTTGTGTATCTGCCATACTGGTTTAAAGCCAGGATCTTCCGTTTGAAGCAGGACCTGAACCAAACTGGAGGTAGGCTACATCATTTCTTTAGGTTGTATTTCACTTTTTATGGCTAAAATGGTCTGCATCCTGGTTTGTTATTTGGCAAACATGAACATGTACATGTGTTCATGTGTGCACATTACAGGCAGCATTTAACTGTATCTGAGACTGCAGGTGTCAAACAGGTTTTACTGTTGAAATAAGAATTTGATGTGCACAGATTGCAAGAAGACATAATCACTTTGTTGACTGCCACTGGCAATCACCCATTAATTCATAGAACAAAGGTTACCATTGTAACCTTTAAATTGTTATATAGAAATTGGGTTTCATCTTTTACACAAAGAAAAGCTGCGCTGATTATTTGCCTTTTGATCCCTGAACAAACCACAGGGCTGGGAGAAAAGCAGTGCATCACACAATGGGCTCTAGTTTCGCAGACCGGGCGCGGTGGAGGCAGCGCACCTGCACTTCGACAACTGGGTGTGGCCAGGCGGATTTTGTAAGTTTGGCACACTGTGCGCCCTGGCGCAGCTACTCCTCTATCCCACCTCCGTCCCTCCTACCTGCGCAAGTGGGAAAGAGGGAGGAGAGAAGGCGTGGAGTGGGTTTTACACACATCACACCAATCAAATGAGCCCCTCTCCTCGCCCTTAAATGCGCCGCGCGAATGTATATTGAGAGTTTATTCAATTCGTCATGGCAGAAGAGAGCAGCAGCATCAGACGGTCAAACTTCTCCCAGGAGGAAACTGATCTGCTTGCAGTGTCCGAATATACGGAACTGCGAGCAGACCTCCACGGGCTGATGATGCAAAGGTAGCCTGGGAGGAGGTCACCACAATTGTAAATCAATGTTGCGTTTCTCTCGTGCGCGCGCTCTCTCTCTTTCTCTCTCGCAGTCTCACTCTGTTTCTTTTCTTTTGACTTTTCTAAGATGACAGATGCTGAATATATACTCCCTATCTGATGCTGTGGCTGTTTGTGGTTGGCTGAGAGGGATGTGAACTCATTAGTTTGCAGCTGTGTTAATCAAATCAGGTTGGGTTTCCATTACGCGTGCCAAATGGTGCCAATCCCCTTTGATCTGACATCAGATGTGACGGGACAGTCGATACAGAGATACATTTATGTGCTGATTGCAGATAGTTGCATTGAATAGTGGTTATAGGGTATTAATTGCATTGTTAATGTGCCTGATATTCTGGAAACCTGCCTGTGAGGTTTTGGTGACTTGTGCGCACTGTCCACAAGTCACCAAAACCTGCGCTGCACCGGAAAACTAGAGCCCAATATGTTAAAGGTCATCTTTCCACTAGAGATATCATCTGTACATCATTGTTAATTACAGTCTCTGTCTCTCAGGTATTCACACTTTGCAGCAGAGGTATGGTTGTGAGTGGGACAATGAGACTGGAGAGGTTAACGGTTTTGCTCCGTATGGTTATGATGGAGAAGACTTAATGTCATTCGACCCGAAGACACGGACATCGATTGCTCCGAAACCACAGGCTGTCATCACTGAAATTACATCGGATGCCTCCAGATATGAAGTTTTAGATATGGATGAGAATAACGTCGCTCAGATGTGCCCTTCTTTGCTGAAGATATATGTATCCTATGGCAACAGCGTTCTGCTGAGAACAGGTAGGATCACATGATCTGATGTTGTTTCATGGACACAACAGTGTTGATATAGACTGCTCAGACTGAACTGACATTGTGTTATCACTCCAATCAGTCTGATATTACTTTCTTTTTGGTCGTTTTCTGTGGTACTAAGATTTGATTTATAGATTGACAGTTTTGGTTATACATTACTTTTTACCAAAGCTGCAATGACTAGTACACAGATGGCATGACTGAGGTAAGCAAATAGTTCTACTGAACATTGACACTGTGATTCACTGCTATACTGTAACCTATAAAAAATATCAGAACCTTTCTAATTGACTGTAGTGAGTTTCTTCTGTGGTGATGTAGTTCCCCTCTCTGCCTGATATACAGACAGTGTGAAAGTTGTGTAGCAAATTAATTGTTATGTAGCACTGTCATAACATTTTTACAGCTCATAAGATACATAAGACTGTTGATTGTGCATTTACCTGAGAGAGAAGTTGCTAGCATGTTGCTACTTTATAATTTATCCAGTGTGGCTTGAGTTCATAACAGTACCATGTGTAGTTTCATGCTGTAGTGTACTTCCTCTGACTCTCTCTCTGCAGACTTTCCCTCAGTGTCTCTTCTCCAGAAGTCTCCCTCCTCTCCAGTCAGGTCAACACTCATCCTTCCAGATGAGTGTTGACCTGAACCTTTCATCAGTCCCACCTGAAGACTGGAGGAGGTACGACTGTGTGTTTCAGCTCTCTGGTGTGAAGGACGACATCATCACCAAACTGGACAAAGCAGTGATCAGGACCAACTGGGGTAAGTGGTTTCAACATCAGGTCCATCCAGTAGTAGAGACAAAGTGTCAATGTTCTGTTGTGGTTCCAGTTTCTCCCTCACAGTTTCCTGCTGGTCCTGTTATTGGAGTTGTTGTAGGACTGCTGCTGCTGCTGACACTCTGGAGAAGGAACCATCATGGTGAGTGAAGCCATGTTCACTCACTGTTTGATTCAACATGTGGGTTTAACTCAAGAGGAAAGTGTCAAATAACATTTTAACAGCTCAAAATACCATGTGCATATGCAGAAAAAAAGTATTTCAAGCCTTGTTATTTTTACTCTGAAGGGATAGAGGTGTGAGCTGGCTGATGGTCAGTAGTTTTGCTGCCAACAGAACACAGTCAAGGTCCTCAACAGATGTACTGCATTATATATTGTATCAGAGCTGCAGTCCTGCTTTTATATTCAAAGCAGAAATCTATGAAATTTTGGAGGAATTCTGTAAAACAAGTGTTCTTTGTTTCCTCTCATAAAATCGTTTTCTTTTTTTTTTAACATTTAATACTGTAATCTCTCATCTGTATTTCAGGATTCAGACCTGCAAACAGTAAGTTTTCCTTTATAGGAAAAAAATGGATCTGTTTTATTGATAAGAATTTCATGTGTCTGCTACCATTTGCTTGTAATCATTTGTACTGTAATCAACCACTGATGTCCAGTTCTGTCTCACATATGATTACTAAAAACTTTAAAGTTAAATTTCACTTAATTTTCTATTTCTAACTTTAGACTCTTCACCTCAGTTGGACAACACTTTAGCCCTAACTGATGACAGTGAGTACATCATTGTTTCAGCTATGCTGTGCACATGACATAATGTACAAGTTTCATAACCCACAAAACATTCTACATGACAAAGATTTTTCCTGGTCAGTAATAATACCAATACAGCAATGTGAAAATACTCCTCCATTCAAAATCCTACTTAAGAAGTAGTCCAGATGTATTATCAGAAAAATGTATTGAAAATATCAAAAATAAAAGTAGGCTACTCCTCTTTAAGAAAAAATTCCCGTACAGTACAGGTGGGGCTATATGTTTGTTGCTTTATATACAGGAAAGTATTGGGAAATATTGCCTCCAAATACTCAGGATAAAGTAAAAAGCAGCATGAAATAACCAGAATTACAGCCTCGTGGTTGCATGCCTCCATGAACCAGTCAAGCTGCAGCTACAGTTTACATCCATGTCTGCTCAGACTCATATGTAGCCATGACAGCAGACAATGCTTCAAATAAGGATGCTACTGTCGAGAAGATACAAATTATAAAACATGGATGCTTTACACATATTGTCAGCCCAGCAACGAATCAATACAATCAGCACAGTTTCAAGATGAACACCCTAGATTAGTGTCACCAACTCTGTATCTGACTAAATGTTTCCCCTTCTGTTCCTGAGATATGACGTTGTTTTATGGCCAGAAAAGTGTTTTTGCTGAAAATCATGACGTCACAGTGAAGCTGACCGTTGACATTGTGGATATTGCACGTCATCATTTAATCATTTTATTCATTTTAGACATTTGTGTGAAATTTTGTCACAGTGACCTTGACCTTGACCTTTGACCTTTGACCACCAAATTCTAATTATTTCATCCTTTAGTTGAGATAAAACAATTCCCTCAAGGCATTCTTGAGATTTGTGTTCATGTGAATGGGACGGACGGAGGCTACAGACAGACTGACGGACAACCCAAAAATAAAAAAATCGATCATGTGGAAGATCCTGAAAATATATTGATCAGTGCATCTGATATTGGTTATGCTATCTCAAAGCTGGACAGTAACAAGGCTTGTGGCCATGATGACATCGCCGCAGAACATATGAAATATGCCAGTCATAGGCTTTCTGTGCTGCTGGCTATATGTTTCACTGGTCTCCTACGTTATGGTGTCTTACCTGATTCCTTGACACATGTAGTATTAGTCCCAGTCCTAAAGTACAAGGCTGCAAAGTTAAATAGTATGGACAACTATTGCCCAATTGCTCTGGCAAGTATTCTATCTAAAGTGCTTGAGAGAGTTTTGCTGAGTAGGCTGGCATTGTTTGGCTTTGAAGAGGTGCCCCCTCTTATATTATTAGAATTCTAGTCTTCTGGTATGCAAACCAACAGTGTGTGTCAAATAGGGCAAGGTTCTGTCAACTCCTTTTCATGTTCAAAATGGAGTGCGTCAAGGCGGAATACTGTCTCCCTATTTATTTAATGTATACATGGATGATTTATCCAGATTGTTAAATGGGTGTAAGACCGGATGTCTAGTTGGAAACTCTGTAGTCAATCACCTCATGTATGCTGATGACCTGGTAGTATTCAGCCCATACAGGTTTGCAGCAATTACTACACATTTGTTCCCAGTATGGTAAAGATTTTGATATTAAATTTAATGCAAAGAAAAGTAACATCATGACTGTCAAGAGCAGGGAGGACAGGAGATTAATTTTCCCTGTTTTTTTGCTTGAGTGGAAATATTCTTAAGGTGTGTAAAGAAACAAAATATCTTGGACATTACATATCTGATGAACTGAATGATGATAGAGACATGTATAGACAGTCCTGCAAATTATATGGCCAAGCAAACTTATTGCTGCGTAAATTTAGTATGTGCTCTCGCAGTGTTAAATGTTCTCTGCTCAGGGCCTACTGCACTACTATGTATACTGCACATCTGTGGTGGCGATATAGGAACAGTAGCATGCTTAAGATCACTGTGGCCTTCAATGATGCCATGAGACTTTTACTTGGTGTCCTCAGGTGGCACAGTGCAAGCCAGCTGTTTGTGAACTGTGGTGTTCCTACTCTTGGAGCTCTACTAAGACAACTGATGTATAAATTCATGTCTCGCCCTAAGCAAAGCTGCTTTCGATATACATCTGGACTTCGTAAACATTGGCATAACAGCCTCTATAGGAGCTTTTAAAATTGTTTGTAAGTAAATAATAAAGTAAATATATATATAATAATGCCTCTGGCTTTGGCTATTGCAAAAAAATACTCAAAATTACACTTAAGTACAGTCCAGAAACTGATTTTTTTTTTTTTTGCTTTTTTATAATGAACATCAATAATGTCTCAAATACATAGTCAGTTACTCAGTTTGTCCATTTACAAATTTGTCTTGACAGACTCCCAGTGAAAAGGGGAGGACTCCAATGAAGTTACTGTGGCTGTGAAGTTTCTGCAGACTCTTTCTGAAACATTTATTAGTCTTGGGCCTTATCTGGTTTATATCATTAGGGACCAGGCAGTTATCTGTCCTTGATGGTGATCAGTAAGAAGTCCAGCCCTTTAGTTGTCACATCATGGACTTCTGTTTGATGCTTCCACTCTTGAAACACACTAATGAAGACCGTGCAGTGAACCCCACCTGTAAACTCTTAGTAAACTCCTAATTCTCAGTGCTTGCATATTAATCAAAGAATGTCTTAGACCCAACACACGTATCACTGAGCTGTCTGTACAATGTAGAACTGCTGGGATTTGTGTACACGCATATATCTTTATATTCTCTCAGATAATGTTACATTTTGTGTCGCTATTGTTTTTGGTGTTTTCTGTGTGTGTGTGTGTGTGTGTGTGTGTGTGTGTGTGTGTGTGTGTGTGTGACGTTGAGTCTTGCATCCCTCTTGTTAATACAGACATGATTCACTGTGACCTTTCATGAACTAATAAAAGTCTGATGGAAAGTTTTTTATTTGTCCATTTGTAGTCCTTTTGTATCAGAATGACATGAAGTCTTCTTCATCATAACCGTACTGATTAAAACCATTAACCATGCCTCATTAAATGAATTAAGCTTCATTTGACCTATGAAACAGTCTCAGTGTAATACTTATGCTTGTTTCCTAACCATCAGAGAGAAGAGTGTCTTTTTCTTTATTCTTAATGTCTGTCTCTGGGCCAAGTCAAACAAAATAATTTATGGCACACAGTCCAGAGGACCCTATTTTACATTTTCCTGGCAAAGCTTCATAGTGAGAAGCTTGTTAGCCAGTTAAAAGGAATAAGGACATTTTTCTTTAGAGAATTTTCTTTTTGATGTTAAATTTTGTGGTTATGGCTGTTACTGGGGCAGGATCAGCAAAGAGATAAGAAACGTAAAGACCACAGATGAAAATATGATTAAACCTCTGTCAGTCATTCAACAGATGGCGAGAACTGTGGGAAATGAAAGGATTCAAAACTGATCCTGAATTGGCCCTCTTACTGCTAGACAGTTGTGAACATGTTTTAACAAAATTACTATTATCAAATCTGTAAGTTGTAGGCTTGAATGTAACCTAGGTGTATGAACGGTACTAAAACAAAGGTTATTTAATTTCACCATCGTCATATTACAGTTATTAATCGCACATAGCTATAAATAGAAACATTACCTGCAAACAGCTATGTTTAAAAAATATAAATAGTATTAAAAACGAGTTGCATCTTTCTCTCATTCACTTCCGAAACAAATGCAGGCCAGATCAAGATCTTTATGGCAAGAGGTGGTAGTGCTCATGGGAGATGTATTCTTCATTTCGGGAAATGCTGCCATTTTTTTCAACAGGGGATGCCAAAGTCAACACAAAATTAAAATTGCTTTAAAGTAAAAATGTAACCACTCAAAATTCTTTTTGTAAACTGAAAATCCAAATTTAGATGACTTCTTTTTGTCAACAATGAATTCAGTGGCAGCCATGAGGACGACAGCAAGAACAGCCACCGCAGCAGGGATGGGGACGGCCATGTCATTGGGCTTCTCTGCTGAACAAAAATTAAGACCTGTTCAAATAAAGCAGGTAAGATGTCCATCCATCCATCCATCCATCATCATTTTGTTCATTGGGTTAGTTGCTGTGAACTAAGACTGACTTAGCTGAGTTAATACAATATAATCTATGATTCTGGCTTTCATCTTAAAAGTGAGCATATGTAATAATAGATTAAAACCCTTTATGTGTTGGATTTGTGAAGCAGACACTGAAACTAGAATGAATAAACTTAAAGTTAGAGGGATACCTTGCTGATTACAAACCTGGTCTGTGTCACTGCGGTGTGGGGACAGTGTGCAGATGAGCAGTGAGAAGGCGCCTGTTGTGTTGGCAGTGCTGGCTGTGCTGGAAACCACCCGCCTGTGCAATGAGCAAAAATCTGCCAGATGACATGTAAGTGTCTTGATTCTGCCATCACAGTAACCTGCCTGAAAGTCATTAACCAGCTCAATAAATACACCTCTGGGAAGTTTAGGACCCCAGGAGATGCAGTGGAGAACGACCTCAAGAAGTGATTCGCTGTGGGACAAAGAGATTTTCAGGTTGTGGATTTGCACGATTTTTTCTTAAATCAGGAAAGACTAAAAGTACACCAAAGTTTTTTTTCCCATCATTAGTATTTGTGTCTTGAACAGTGAGCATTATGTGGCCAGTTTCCAATAATTATTAATAGATAGCACTGACAGGTCACACCTCATGATGGTATTCCTGAAATTTGAACTCACTCTAACACTGACAGCACTTACCTCCTTACTTTCATCTGGAGTGTGAGGAGTGTTTACCTGAGAATATGCGTCACACTCCAGATGAAACATTAACCTAGGAAACAGGTTTGGACTGAAAGGAAAGTTTGCATCAGCTGACTCTACTTCACTCTCCAGCTCTACGTCCTTTCAAAACAAGATGTGTTTACTTCTCTTGCTCCTCTTCTGTTACAAAGACATTTTAAGTCTTAAGTTTAAACCATTTGTCATTTTGATTTGGCCTACAGGCTCCTGTAGAGCTGGATACCACCGCAACACAGGTATTTTGTTTGATTCATGTCCAATTTAGTAATCAGATCTTGTTGCAAGTGATTTGCTGTCAGTGTTCAAGTGAGTTTAGATTACAGGAATACCATCATAGGGTGTGACCTGTAAGTGCCATCTTTTTGTAGACTTATTGGAAACTGTCCACACCATTCCTGTGCTCAAGACACTAATGATAGGAACAGGGCATTGGTGTACTTTTGCTCTGTACTGATTAAAGAAGCAATAAAATTCTGTGTGTAGCTAACTGACAATCACTTATCCAACAGAATGATACAAGAAAAAAATTCAAAAATCATAGAGCATACTGTATTAACTCAACTCCAAGTTAGTCTTAGTTCATGGATGGATGGACTTCTGACCTGCCTTATTAGTACAGGTCTTAATTTTTTTAACAGAGAAACCCAGTGACATGACTGTCCCCATCACTGCTGCAGTAGCTGTTCTTGTTCTCTTCCTCATCGCTGCCAAAGTGCGAGTAGCACAGAAGGATCCAAGCAAAGTAGGGCTGTCACAAAGGCTTGCAGAATTTTTACCATTGCTGAAATAACAAAATAAATGCAATAATTTCTGGAAAGTCTAGTTTTGCCTTGATTCCCTTTACCTCCTATCTTTTAAAATACAGACAGTCTATCCTGACAGCCAATCCAAAGAGACGTGTCAACAATGCAAGGACAATATTAATCAATCAATCAATCAATTTTATTTATAAAGCCCAATATCACAAATCACAATTTGCCTCACAGGGCTTTACAGCATACAACATCCCTCTGTCCTTATGACCCTCGCAGGGGATAAGGAAAAACTCCCCCAAAAAAAACCCCTTTAAAGGGGAAAAAAAACGGTAGAAACCTCAGGAAGAGCAACTGAGGAGGGATCCCTCTTCCAGGACAGACAGACGTGCAATAGATGTCGTACAGAACAGATCAGCATAATAAATTAACAGTAATCCGTATGACACAATGAGACAGAGAGAGAAACAGAGAGAGAGACAGAGAGAGAGATGCAGGTAATGACAGTAGGTTACAACAACATTATTGAAAGTAATAATATTATAGTTATAGTTCTGGCTACTGTGGTACAATATGTTGAAAGTATATATTAATATCTGGCAGTATACATGCGTGACAATAGTCATATGTGTATAATAACAGTAGAAGTATGACTAATGACTAATGATGGCAGTAGCAGCAGGAGGCATCTGGCAGGACCACGGCAGCAGCACAACCACACACGTCACGCTGTCCAGGCACCGCTGCGATATGAGTTAATCTGAGAGACAGTGGAGCACAAAGGCTCCGGAGAAGAAGCCGAGTTAGTGACATCCAGAATGGCCGAGTTAGCAAGATGCAGTAATAGAATACGAGAGAGAGAGAGAGAAGGAGAGAAGGTGCCCGGTGTATTATAGGGGGGTCCTCCAGCAGACTAGGCCTAAGTCAGCCTAACTAGGGGCTGGTACAGGGCAAGCCTGAGCCAGCCCTAACTATAAGCTTTATCAAAGAGGAAAGTCTTAAGTCTAGTCTTAAATGTGGAGACGGTGTCTGCCTCCCGGACCGTAACAGGAAGATGATTCCACAGGAGAGGAGCCTGATAGCTGAAGGCTCTAGCTCCTGATCTACTTTTGGAGACTTTAGGGACCACGAGTAACCCTGCGTTCTCAGAGCGCAGTGTTCTGGTGGGATAATATGGCACTATGAGCTCTCTAAGATATGACGGAGCTTGACCATTTAGAGCTTTATAAGTTAACAGTAGGATTTTAAATTCAATTCTGGATTTTACAGGGAGCCAGTGCAGAGAAGCTAAAACAGGAGAAATATGATCTCGTTTCTTAGTTCCTGTTAGTACACGTGCTGCTGCATTCTGAATTAGCTGGAGAGTTTTTAAGGACTTACTAGAGCTACCTGATAATAGAGAGTTACAGTAATCCAGCCTTGAGGTAACAAAAGCGTGGACCAATTTTTCTGCATCTTTTCGGGTCAGGATAGGCCTAATTTTCGCAATATTACGCAGATGAAAAAATGCAGTCCGTGAGGTTTGCTTTAAATGAGAATTAAAAGACAAATCTTGATCAAATATTACTCCGAGGTTTCTTACGGTAGTGCTAGAGGCCAGAGCAATGCCATCTAGAGAAACTATGTCATCAGATAAAGAGTCTCTGAGTTGTTTGGGGCCAAGAACAATAACTTCAGTTTTGTCTGAATTTAACATCAGGAAATTGGTGCTCATCCAATTTTTTATGTCTTTAAGGCAGTTATGGAGTTTAGTTAATTGATTACTTTCTTCTGGCTTCATCGATAAATACAACTGTGTATCATCCGCATAACAATGGAAATTTATAGAGTGATTTCTAATGATGTTACCTAAAGGAAGCATATATAGAGTAAATAGGATTGGTCCGAGCACAGAACCTTGCGGAACTCCAAAACAAACTTTGGTACGTAAGGATGATTCATTACGAACGTCAACAAATTGAAAACGATCAGATAAATAAGATTTAAACCAGCTTAGTGCTGAACCTTTTAGGCCAATTAAGTGATCCAGTCTCTGCAGTAGAATTTGATGGTCAATTGTGTCAAACGCCGCACTAAGATCTAATAAAACAAGAACAGAGACGAGTCCTTTGTCTGAAGCAATCAGAAGGTCATTTGTAATTTTAACTAGAGCTGTCTCAGTGCTATGATGCACTCTAAATCCTGACTGAAATTCCTCAAATAAATTATTATCCTGGAGAAAATCACACAGCTGGTCTGCGACTACTTTCTCAAGGATCTTTGACATAAAGGGAAGATTAGATATTGGTCTATAGTTGGCTAACACCTCTGGATCCAGGGTGGGCTTTTTTAGGAGAGGTTTAATTACAGCTACCTTAAAAGACTGTGGTACATAGCCTGTTAATAGGGATATATTGATCATATCTAATATATGAGTGTTAACTAAAGGAAAGACCTCCTTAAGTAGCCTAGTTGGGATGGGGTCTAAGAGACACGTTGATGATTTAGATGAAGAAATCACTGCGGTCAATTCTTGAAGAGAAATTGGGGAGAAGCAATCTAAATATATATTAGATTCTACAGCTGTGTTTGAGGTTAGATAGGTAGGCCTACCATCTGAGGGCAGGAGGTCATGAATTTTGCCTCTAATAGTTAGAATTTTGTCATTAAAAAAGCTCATAAAATCATTACTGCTAAGGGCTAAAGGAATACAAGGCTCAATAGAGCTTTGACTCTCAGTCAGCCTGGCTACAGTGCTGAAAAGAAACCTGGGGTTGTTCTTGTTTTCTTCTATTAATGCTGAGTAATAGTTTGCTCTGGCATTGCGGAGGCCCCTCTTATAAGTTTTGAGACTGTCTGTCCAGATTAAACGAGATTCTTCCAGTTTGGTTAATCGCCAATTCCTTTCAAATTTTCGCGATATTTGTTTTAACCTACGGGTTTGAGAGTTATACCAAGGAGCAAACTTTCTTTGCTTTGTTAACTTCTTTTTAAGAGGAGCTACAGAGTCGAGCGTTGTTCGCAGCGAGCCTACGGCGCTATCAACAAAATGATCAATTTGGGAGAGGTTAAAGTCGGCACGGGAAACCTCTGTTACTGAAGGTATTGGTATTGAATTTAACGACGAAGTAATCTTTTCCTTAAATTTTGTGACAGCACTATCTGATAAACATCTAGTATAGTAACTGTTGCTGAGTGGCGTGTAATCGAGTAAAAAGAAATCAAAAGTAATCAGATAATGATCTGATAGCAAGGGATTCTGTGGAAAGACTTTTAGGTTATCAATTTCAATTCCATACGTCAGAACTAGATCGAGGGTATGGTTAAAACAGTGAGTGGGTTCATGTACACCCTGACTGAAGCCAATGGAGTCTATTAATGAGATAAACGCGGTAGCCAGGGAGTCATTATCAACGTCGACATGAATGTTAAAATCGCCTACAATAATAACTTTATCTGATTTAAGAACTAAACTGGATAAAAACTCTGAGAATTCAGATACAAATTCAGAATACGGGCCAGGAGCACGGTACACTATAACAAATAAAAGTGGCTGCGAGGTTTTCCAGGTCGGATGTAAAACACTAAGAACGAGGCTTTCAAATGAATTATAATCTAGTTTAGGTTTAGGGCTGATTAACAGACTAGAGTTAAAAATGGCTGCAACTCCCCCTCCTCGGCCGCTGCCTCGAGGAATGTGGGTATTATTATGACTGGGAGGAGTGGACTCATTTAGACTAACATATTCATCTTGACACAGCCAGGTTTCAGTGAGACTGAGTAAATCAATATGATTATCTGATATTAATTCGTTTACTAACACTGCTTTAGACGATAGAGACCTGATATTTAACAGTCCGCATTTAATTCTCCTGTTTTGTCTTTCTGTCACAGAAGAGGTTTTAATTTTTATGAGGTTGTTATGCACAACTCCTCTTTGTTTAATTTTAGATTTAAATAATTTAGGTGGTCGGGGGACAGACACCGTTTGTATAAAACTATGAAAACTATGGCTGGGTAACTGAACTAGAAGCTCAGAGAGGCGTTTAGGACTGCAACTCTCTGTCCTGGTCTCAACTCTGGGTTGTCAGGGATTTAAATTACTAATAAAATTTGCCAGGTTCCTAGAAATGAGAGCAGCTCCATCCAAAGTGGGGTGAATGCCGTCTCTCCTAATAAGACCAGGTTTTCCCCAGAAAGTTTGCCAATTATTAACAAAACCCACATCGTTTGCTGGACACCACCTGGACAGCCAGCGGTTAAATGATGACATGCGGCTAAACATGTCATCACTGGTCAGATTTGGGAGGGGTCCAGAGAAAACTACGGAGTCCGACATCGTTTTTGCATATTCACACACCGAGGCAATATTAATTTTAGTGACCTCCGATTGGCGTAACCGGGTGTCATTGCCGCCGACGTGAATAACAATCTTACTGAATCTACGTTTAGCTTTAGCCAGCAGTTTTAAATTTGATTCAATGTCGCCCGCTCTGGCCCCAGGGATACATTTGACTATGGCCGCTGGTGTTGCTAACTTCACGTTCCTCAGAATAGAGCTGCCAATAACCAGAGTTTTATCCTCAGCGGGTGTGTCGCTGAGTGGGGAAAAGCGGTTGGAAACGTGAACAGGCTGGTGGTGAGCCGTGGGCTTCTGCTTGGAGCTGTGCTTCTGGCGAACCGTAACCCAACCTCCCGGCTGAACGGGAGTTACCGGAGGACAGTTAGCTGAGGCTAAGGCTATGCTATGTGGCTCCGCACCGGCTACAGGGGGCTGGCTAACTACCGCAGCTACTGAATGGTTTTCCATGGTGCGGAGCCGCGCTTCTAATTCACTAAGCCTCGCCTCCAACGCAGCAAATAAGCTACACTTATTACAATTACCACTGTCGCTAAAGGAGGCAGAGGCATAACTGAACATTTGGCACACCGGGCAAGAAAGAGCAGGAGAAGGAGAAGCCATGGCTAAGCTAAAGTAGCTAACAAGGCTAAGAGCGTGCAAACAACAGCTAAGAGATTAGCGAGAAAGTCGTAGAAAGAAGGAGAGCTATAAGTGCTTAAACAGAACCAGTGTGGGTTATGACTTGAAGTAGACGTTAAAGCAGCGTTAAAGCAACTGAGGTGAGAAAGCAGGCTAGCAGAATTCACCAGAGCAGTACAGAGACACTGTCACAGAAACACCGGAAATGACACAACTCGCTTACCGCAATACGTCAGCACGTCAACATTAACAAAAGCTTTCAGCATTTTAGAGCAAATCTCCAAACCTGTGATACTTTGCCTCTGAGGAGCTTGTAGGATACATTTAGCATGAAATACATGTTAAAACATGCTTATTCACAGTCATTTAGGGTGGAGGTTACAACACATGACGTGTACAAGCACACATAAAACAATAATATCCTATTGAGGTAATATATACAGTAGGTGCACCCAAGCCCACCTCTGGCTACATGTATCCTGTTCAAGGTTCTCTCTCTCGCTACTGCACACCAGAGAGAACTGGATTTTAATGTATTAAAGACTATTAATATGTGCTTAGTTTGCTCTTTGTAACAGCTGCATGAAATGTCTCCACCACATGTAGCCATGTAACATCATCTAATACATTTAATTATGATCACCTGATGTTTTTCATGTTAATTTATTTATTTATTTGTTTATTGAATCTGTGGTGGGGTTAAAATATTGTGCTGCACAAGTCCATCAGTAGCCACAAAGCTTTAGTAACCATTTAATTAACAGCTCTTTATTGAAAAGTTCAGAGGCTGTACTTTCACCATTTTGTCATGTTTGCTATAAATATAATGTTTTAAGAAACAGGGGAGGGTATTGAAGTTTTTTTTCAAAGGGGGTTCCAAAAAAAATATTACTAATGCTGGACGGCCCCTCCCCACCTCAATACATTTTGTACAGTCCCTAATTTAGTAGAGTCAGTGCTATTGATGGGCAGATGAAGCCTTATGAAGCTTCAGGGCTTCAGACACAGCAGCACAGTGACATCTGGTGAATGCAAAACTTACAGCAGCCCTTCAAGACGTAAGTCAAGGAGTGAAACAAGTTTCTCAACTTCTGAATCATCTGCCCACCTCTGATCAAAACAGAAACACTCCCACCTCCCTCTCCGAAGACAAACATCTGACAGAAGACAAACAGCTAAATCAGCTCGGTGCTTTACTCAAACATCTTAAAACAAGATGAAGAAGTTACTTTTGTTGCTTCTCTTCTGTCGCGCTTCATCAGGTAAGATCACTTTGTACAGTTTTTTCTAAATGGTTAAACACTAACAGTGATTTATGAAGCACTGTCTCTGAAACCATGAACATTTGTCACCAGTGTATTTACAAAGTGTGCCAAACTGAATGCCCTTTCTCTGCTTTACATTCAGTTTGTAATTTTGTAACACACTTTTTGCAAAACTGTAAACACAACTCAGTGCTTTACAATAAGTTGCGATTTAACACACTTATAGCAAAACTGTAAACATTGGTCTCTACATTGCAACATTATTTTGCCAGTTGCCTTTCCACATTAACACATGTACTGCCTAGCTCAAGACAAAATTGCATGTCGGGGCGTTAGTAGCTTAGTGGGTAGAGCAGGTGACCCATATACAAGGCTGTTGCCGCAGCGGCCCAGGTTCAAGTCCAGCCTGTGGCCCTTTGCTGCATGTCATCCCCTCTTCTCTCTCTTCCCCTTTCAAACTTACCTGTCCTGTCCATTAAAGGCAAATGCCCAAAAACATATCTTTAAAAAACAAAAGACAACATTGCATGTTATGTGGAGTCTTACAGCCAAACCCACAAAGAAGGCAAGATTTAGACAATATGTTTGACCAAAATCAAACTGAATTCATGATAAGTGTGGTAGTGTGTGTACTGAATGTATAAACCTCATTTGTTCTGCAGTGAAACACTCCCTGCAGTTTTTCTTTACTGGATCCTCTGGAGTCCCAAACTTCCCAGAGTTTGTGGGTGCTGCAGTGGTTGATGAATTTCTGGTGGCTTACTGTGACACCAACATCATGAAAGTAGAACCAAAACAGGAATGGGGAAAGAAGATTAATGAAAACCATCCTCAGCACTTTGAGCGGTTAACTCATGAGTGTTTTGAGATTAAGCCAAACTTCTTGAAAGCTACAATTGATAGCTTGAAGCAACGCTTCAACCAAAGTGGAGGTATGGTATTTATGTTTTTTTGTATTTCATGTCTTACTCCTAAAATGTTTTGCATCCTGGTTTGTTGTTTGGCTCATGAGCACACATGAAGATGCATGCACAGGCAACTGCCATGTATTTAGAGCTGGGACTGTACCTGGGACTGCGGGTGTCAAACAGGTGTCACTGTAAATAAAACAGTTTGATGTGCATGAACACATACTTTGTTTACTGCCATTGCCAGTCATCCATGAATTCATAGAACAAAAGCTACCATTGTAACTTTTAAACTGTGAAACAGAAATTGTGTTTCATCTCTCATATTAAGAAAAGTGCACTGATTATTTGCTCTTGAATCATGAGCACACCACAAGATTGGGAAGATCACATGACACAATATGTTTAAGATCACCTTTTCACTGGTGATATCATCTTTGTGAATTACAGTCTCTGTTTCTGTCTCTCAGGTATCCATATTTTACAGCAGATGTTTGGCTGTGAGTGGGACGATGAGACTGGAGAGGTTAATGGTTTTAATCAGTATGGTTATAATGGAGAAGACTTCCTATCATTCGACCTGAGGACATTGACATGGGTTGCTCCGAAACCACAGGCTGTCATCACCAAACTGAGATGGGGTGCTGACAAAGCTAGAATAAAATACAATGAGATGATCCTGAGTCAGATGTTACCTGAGTTCCTGAAGGCGTATGTGGCCTTTGGCAAGAGCTTTCTGCTGAGAACAGGTAGGATCACATGACTTGATGTAGTTTCATGGACACAACAATCCAATCAGTCTGGCATTACCTTCTTCTTGACTGTTTTCTGTGGAGGCTAGATATATGTAGCCCTCACCAGTCAGTAGAGACCGTGACAGCCACTGCACATTTAGCAAGAGTTTAACTGCAATGACAGGCTGTCAGTCAGTCAGTTGGTAGGTCCTTTACCTTGGTAGACTGGATGCATTGCCATGAAATTTGTTGCACAGATTCATGATTCCCCCGAGAATGAATCATAAAAAATTTAATCTAAAGCCATTATCAGATCAAAATATCTGGTTATCCAATACTTTGGTTTATGGCCTGAAAAAATACCTGCACAACCAATGACACTGACATCAGCCTCAGCTGTACTATAGGTTTAGTGCTAATTAACAAATATTAGAATGCTAACATGCAGAACTGAGATGTTATTATATCCGTAAAACATCAACATGCAGGTATTACTGTTGTTAACATACTGAGATCAGCTTATAGCTCAAAACATCACTCTACCTCAGGACAACCTCAAAGAGCTGCTAGCATGGCTTGGTCTTGTTAGGGGCTGGGCAGCTCTGCTGCTGGTCCCTCTTGAATTTGATAATATTCTCCTCCTTCTCCTTCTCCTTCCAAAGATATCTAACTTCCCATGCATGAAAATAAACCAAACATGACACATAGGTCCCATGCTAAACTTTCTCAATGGGAAATGGGGGTCAGTAGTTTTGATAGTGACACTACAGCAACTGTTTTAAGTTCAAAACTCTGAAAATTCATACCAAATCACCTGTATGGCCTACAGCTTTGCAACTTATACTAAACTGTTGGCCCAATTGTGAGTACACTTTTGTAAACTCCAACCTAGTGCAAATTATGAAGTCCATCACTCTGTTTTTTTTGTTTGTTTTTTTAAAACAACTGTAAAGCTAATTAAACTTATTTCCTCCCACACTTTTGGCTCAGTGTACACCAAACATGCTTCCCATGCAAATTCAGACTGTCCTACACAAAAATATTACACAGATTTTCGAATGATCAAAAACTGAGCCCACAGTGCATCCAAATGTGTCACTGTAAACAGTACTGTAAACAGCTAGTGCAAATTCTTACTAAATAAAGCTCCAATGTTCATTAAATACATTGGCGATATTTTGCTGTCTAGGTAAATGAAGTATGCCAATTCTCAGAATTTTCACACAATAACTGAATTTTTGACACTAGTTTGAAGTCTGCCTGTAAATACATGTACAGCTGTTATGCTGTAGCCTGGTGGTTGGCTGTATCATGGTGCGAAGCCACATCTAAATTCTACACTGGTGAAGTAGCTCAACTTGATAACAACTTACCTTTAATGCCTAAAAGCTGCGAATCCCAGGTGGTGCAGATTAAACATGCTTTTGCCTTCTCAGACATTGTGCTATGTGGGTTGGAAACATGTGATTTTAAAGATATTTCAAGGATAGCAATATTTTTGGCCCAGAGAGTTCTACTGATGGATCCCCATGGATTTGTTATTTGTCTTCCTCTTCTTTTTCCTTTTCCTCTTCCTTATTATCCCCTTACTTCTTTTGATTTTATTCTTCTTCCTCCCCTACTGAGCACTTATCCATAGGTATGTTTAGCTTAGCTACTAGGCTTTACACACTGTTTATTCATAGGAGTTTCCCAGCACTGTTAGCCCAACTAGGCCAGAATTAGCCATTGGTGTCAGATTTGTCAGTTCAAGTCCTGAATTATGGTAATCTCATACAGATTTGGGCAGAAACCATGCAGTTCTTTACATGCAATGCACATGTATTATTCTCACCCACATATATTTGACTTTTTCTGCACTTTTTCTGGGGTCCCTACAGTCTTGGGATTGCATAGATTGGACATTACTGGAAGGCTGAGACTCTTGTGGATCCAATGTGACCAATTTTATTCTATGATGATGTTAGACCCCATAACTAACTGCTTTGTTGTAATGAGAATTTTTTTTTTTTAATTTGACCTCACCGTACTAAATGAGGCAGCACGGTGGTGTAGTGGTTAGCACTGTCACCTCACAGCAAGAGGGTTCCTCCCCAAAATGCCCAGCCCTGACCTATTGCTGCACAGCAGCTACAATTGTTACTTATGTTGCTCAGTTTAATGATGGTCTCCAACAATTCTCTACCACTACTATTGACATGAATCAGCATTGAGACTCACTGCGCTCACAAGTGTGATGTTTTTCAACTAACAATCATGTCTTTCGCTCTCTCTTCTTTTTCTGTATGTCTTATGTTGATTTCTCCAGATTTAATTTCTGTATATTTATTTTCCCTTGTTTTCTTTTCTTTCACGTTTGCTGTTTCTCATCTTTCTCTACACCCTTTTTTCGTCTCGCTCCCTCTCCTTCTATTGTCTGTATTCCTCTCCCTGCAGACCTTCCCTCAGTGTCTCTCCTCCAGAAGTCTCCCTCCTCTCCAGTCAGCTGTCACGCTACAGGTTTCTACCCTAACAGAGCCATAATGCTCTGGAGGAACGATGGAGAGGAGATTCATGAGAATGTGGCTCTCGGAGAGATTCTCCCCAACCATGATGGAACCTTCCAGATGAGTGTTGACCTGGACCTTTCATCAGTCCCACCCGAAGACTGGAGGAGGTACGACTGTGTGTTTCATCTCTCTGGTGTGAAGGATGACATCATCACCAAACTGGACAAAGCAGTGATCAGGACCAACTGGGGTAATACATATGTAAAAAAGATCCATTTACTTGAGTTTTCCTGCAGTTCATGACTCATTCATTGTTCACCTCTTTAGTGCTGAATGGGACTGTTTGTGTCCTGTGTCCATGCCACCACATGGACAAATAGCCTAAACTGCCAGTTAGCAGGCTAGCTACCTCTGTTGCTAACCATATAATAAGTTAGGACTGACTGCAGTTTCTGCCTTTTCATAAAACTGCTTACAGCAATAGCTGTGATAGCTTCCTCCATTTTTTACTCTCCTATCTGTCTTCAGCACTGTGAAGATGGTGTGCAGTTGACCAAAGGTGCAAATTTCAGTGTCAAAGCTGCTCATCAATGTGGAGCTCTGAACAAAATTGGGGTTTTATGTCGGTTTGGCTTTTGTCATCATTAGTTTTGATCATATTAGTTGGAATTCATCGATCCTTTTTTTTCTCTGTTTTCAAACCAATGCATGTAACCCACTGCAGGACAAACCAACATCAATTGTAATTAACTCATAATTAGATGAATATGGGTACCGTAGATATTAATAAATGGTGGATGGATGTACTTCTGTTCTAACCTGCTTTGTCTTTATGGTTGTAGACTTATTGTTGTTTTTTGTTCAACAGAGAAGCCTTCTGACATGACCATTACCATCCCTGCTGCAGTGGCTGTTCTTGCTGTCGTCCTCATGGCTGCCATTGGATTCACTGTTTACAAAAAGAAGAAAGGTAAGAGAGGAAACAATGCAAAGTTACTTAGGTGATTAGTATTAGTATTTACAGTTTACAAAAAAAGGAAACATGAGGGACCAAACTTGATATTCTCTAAAGATATTCTCATTTAATTATTGGAGTGCTTAGGTTTTTTTTTTAAAGTTAAAGTTAAAAAGGTAAAACAAGCCCCAAGTCCAATTATGAAGCAACAGAGAGACTGTAGCATTGTGATGGATAATGTTACAGGGAAAAGGTTAAGTACAGTTATTGAAAGTGAGAAGAAGAATGAGTAAGAGGGGAGATCAGATACAGTGGGGGAAATTAAATTCTGGCATTTACAACAGTGACAACTGAAATTATTAGTCATCTCTTCTTCTTCTCCTTCTTCTCTTCAGCTGAATGCCCTCAATGTCGTGAGTAGAACTTGTCTTTATTATATTTTTATCTGGTCTTACATGAACTAAATCACCAAAATAAATGTTGACATTGTAAGTTTCTGCAAATCACAGATATGTTTTATTTGTGAACTTTATCTTTCTTTAGTTTTTAATTTTACATCACTGTAACAATACAGTGGCTTATTGCGGTTTAGGCACCAAAAAAACACTTGGTTAGGGTTAGGAAAACATCATGATTTTGCTTAAAATACTCTGTTAGGTCACTACAAACATGACTGGAAATGTCCTGACCTCTAGTTAAAAAATACTTGCTTTTGTTGTTTGTTCTTCCACAGTCGTCTGCTGTCCCCTCCTGCTCCTGACGAGAAACTAATCTGAACTACATCATATTTATGAAATGTTCAAATATGTGTGCCGTTTGCAGAAATGTACAATGCCAATATTTTATTCTGGCCACTGAGCTGCTGACATGCAACAGATCATTCTGAACTCTAAACGACCAGCCTCTTCAACAGGTTGTATCAGCTGTTTATTAACAGCAGTTCAGTGCAGGATGAGTGGAATAACTGTGTGTTTTTCATTACAGCTCCCGACAACGGCTCTGAGCTCTCTGAGAAACTGAATCCAGAGACCTGATTTACAGACACATCCTGGGCACTGTGAATTACTTCAAATGGGACACAAAGCAATAAATGCTGTGACATAAACTATTCACATCTCCAGTTAAACAACACCTGCAATTATCAGCCTCAGACCACAAACCTTTATATTAGCAGTTTGTGACTTAAAAACTCATCTTATCTGCTTTGTCAGAATTGTGTGGGTGTGGTTTAATGAGACCTGATAATGCTGCTGAATCCTGATTGGTGTAAGGAAATATGTGACATAACCTTGTTCCATTTGAGCTCCACCCACTTCAGTCAATGTAGTGAAAAGATGAGTGAGGAAAGAATGTTTCAGGGCTGTTAATTTAAATGAGGTGATTTAGAGAAAAAACTCTATGAGGCACAGATACTCAAAAAATGTTTACATCAAGGACTGAAAAACGTTTACTTTGTGTTATATAGTGACACTAATTGTATTTGTTCTCTATCTAGACATGGCTATAGTTTGGCTCTTATGTATAGAGGCTGAGATGTGCAGTGAAAAGTTCTGCCATCACGCCAATAACATACCATTATATGAGTCCTTTGTTCTACTTTTGTTTTGAGATGAGCGTTTTTTTAGATTTGGGGATCTCTGCTGGCTTTAGCCTGAGTCCTCTCAAAGCCCCATTTACTATGTGATGAAATTGTAATTGCTTATACTGTTACATGGTGCTTTGTGATTGTATATGTTCTTCTGTTCTCACTGTGTTCCATCTCTTCTTTTGTATGTTGGTATTGTATGACAAGTATGGCTTCCATTTGTATGCCTTGCAGTACTCCATTCAGTACTTGAAAACTACAATTCCCAGGAGGTAGAGCTTCTGGGAACACATTGGAAAGGAAATAAAAGGAGGCTAAATTTTATGTGATACACGATACAATGTTTTTTGGACTTAAGCAGCAGACAAGCACAGACGGAGCTTCGGTGGAAGCAGGCAGGAACAGGTAACAGGGACTCAAACACAGAACCAGGAAATGCCTAAAATCCCTTTTCAACTGAAATTGTATAGGTCAGAGTCAAGTCTTTGCTCACTTGTGAGGAGTAATTCACAGGTGAACACAACTCCCACTCCAGAAAAAAAACATTCCCATCTCGTCAAACCAGGAAACAGGTTTGGACTGAAGAGAAAGTTTACATCAGCTGACTCTACTTTGCTCTCTAGCTCTGCTTCTTTTTAGAAACAAGATGCGTTTATTTGTCTTGCTCCTCTTCTGTCATGTTTCATCTCCAGGTAGGAAGACATTTTAAGTCTTTACTTAAGCCATTCATTTAGCTTATCTTGATTTAGCTTACAAGCTCCTGTATAGCTGGATAACACCATAACACAAACTCTATTTCTCTAAGTGACACATTCATGAAGTTAACATGCATTTTTGTGTTTAATAACATCATTTACTGAATACAAAATTACATAAAGTAACTTTAAATTGGTATTTCATATAATTCATATGCAATTAAGTAAACATATCTTGTTGCAAGTGAGATGGTAAGCTCTGTCAGTGTTCAAGTGAGTTCAGATTTCAGGAATACCATCATGAGGTATGACCTGTAAGTGCCATCTTTGTATAGATTTGTTGGAAACTGGCCACATACTGTAATGCTTGTTGCTCAAGACACAAAACTAATAATTATAGTTGCTGCGCAGCGATGGGTCGAGTCCGGGCATTTTTAGGCAATTCTGAGCAACCTCTGGAATCTAAGACGGTCATCTACCGCTCTGAGCTAATTGGCAAGTAGCGACTCAACAGTGGCTTCACAAATTGAGTAAGCCATTCACTGTTGTGTAGGAAAGCAGCCATCCGTGCATGGAAAGGCAGATTTGAAACCACTGTAAAAATTTCAGTTATTAAGACAAAAATCTGAAAATACACATATTGCATCTAGACAGCATGGAGATGTTGGTAATTTGTTTGTAACAATGATTGATTTGCTCCATAAGTGAAAAACTGATGTTTAAAATTGCCATTTTTACATTGACTCCAATTGTTCACATTAGAGCAAAATTCAAAATGCTGTCAAAAATTCAGTTTTTGAGATAAAATTCTGA